TGAGCTCAGGACATCAGCACAATGATCTTTTAAAGCAGAATATAAAGACCTTCTACAAACATTTAAACTGTTCAATTAATCCTACATTTATATCTCGTTATGCAGAAATAGGCCCTATTCATTCAATGAATATTCTAATCCAGTGAGCATAAGATTACTGTATAAAGTCCAACTTCTTTAACGTGTCACATCCTAGCAGGATATGCTAAGATTTTCTTTTAATACTTTTCAAGTCAGTTCTGACTCCTAGCAACTGATTGGACAAGTCCCTGCAGTTCCTTCATGGCAAGATTTTGGAAATGGTTTGTCATTGCCTCCTTCCCAGGGCTGAGAATGTATGACTGGCCTAAGCTCACAGCTCGCTTTATGCCTAAAATGGAACTACAACTCAGTCTCCCAATTTCTATCCTGGTGCTTTAACCACTGCATTAAACTTAACTCTCTATAATTTTTTACCTCCGTGTTTTAACTACTGTCCTTTATCTCCCTGAAAGGATGCATTTCAGTTGCAATGTAATATAAAAAGGTTGACTGAATGCTGGCCATAATTTTCTAGCTCTAGACCATGGGTGTGAAACTTGATTGTGTCATGTGACGTACCCCTTTTTTTGTCTTTGCAGAGCTGGGGTCGGCGTGGCCTGCATGTGAAGCATCTGGCCCTCAGGCTGCCAGTTTGACACCCCTGCCCTAGACAAAGCCCCTGACTCAAATCAATGGGACTTCTTAATCACGAATACTCCAGGATTCACTCATAACAATGTTTCTATTCAAAGTTTGGTTTAATCTGGATATAATAATATATTAGCAAAATATTCAAACTTGTCTTTGAATTAAGGATCTTCACGCACTGCTATTTTCAACATGTGGAGTTGGCCACAATTATCACTACATTTCTGCATTTATTAAGACTTGCTGATCTTGGTATTAGTTATACAGGTGAAATATGTTGCCAATAAATATGAAATACCTTTTAAAATTCAGCAAATGAGAATCATCACCATACAATAACATTCATTAATGTTACAGTAAGAAGATATCTTAATTCAGGCGTGTCCAACTTTTGGCTTGTTTGAGCCACATTGACCTATGAAGAATTAATTGTCTTGGGACGCACACATAAGATATATAATTAATGTATATAAATATCAAACTTCCTTTGGGAGGGTTTTTGCAGGGCTGCATTAATAGCTGTCCAATGTTGCATGCAGCTTGTGGCTTGGACACACCTATCTTAAATCATGTTGGCTTATTCCACAAAAATGACCTTGCTGTTTTAGGAACAGTAAAAAATCAGAACAGTTTCTATAAAAATGAAACTTATATCTGCTGAAAAAACATTTCTCTATTATGCTTAATATTTATAAACATTCACTAACAGACTTTATTTCCCAAGCAATCAAAACTAATCCTTCTTTAGTTGCAGCTTAGAAATACTATCTGCTTTGATTAGCCAGCACTCATATTACAGCATCTACTACTCTCATCTCTTAACTGGCCATCCAATTGTAGCTCGTAATTTTTTTTCCATATCTCTAAAAGAAAAAAAAATGCCGTACGGTTTTAACCAAATATTGTGCCATGGCATGAAGGTGTCTTGCAGAAGATCCACTGGCAATTATAAAATAATTGCTGTATTTTATTTCTGGAGGCAAACTGATAACACAAATATCTTTGGCATTTTCTTGTCTCATAAGTGATACCATATCATCAATGCTGAATACTGAAGAAACAGGGTCTGAAAAAGATAATGCTTAAATGATTAAAATGTAAATTATGCAGAAAGGTAAGAGGTGAAAGATCTTGAACTAATGAACAGGTAGAAGAAACAGTTCTCAACCCCTTTCTCTCCACAATAGCCTTTATTACACTTAGGATGAACATCCAATTTTCTAAAAACTGCAAAGTCTTAAGAAGGGAACACATATAAAATAATTCGTTGTCATTCAGGATTGGCAGGAGTTGAATCTATGTAAGGTACAATCCTACATTTCTACCACTCCAGTTTCCACTTAATGATTGGCAGCATCGTTATCTGTGTTGCTATTTACCCACTGCCCTCTGCAAGCCATTTCCCCCGCACCTCTACGTTCACATAAAGTATTTTTGGGGCTGATCATCAGGGCTTATAAGGATCGGTAGGTTTAGGTGGAAGCCAGGAATTTAGTCTGCAACACCATCACCACCGTGCAAAGTGGCCCTATTTCCGCTGATTTACATCTCCCAGAGCCGTGAGGAGAAAATAAAATACATCGCTTGCCTGATCCGCCAGCCAGCGGCATATACCGGAGGCTACCCAAAGCCCTACCACTAAACGGGTCGCAAGGTCGACTTGGCCGCGACATTTCTTCACTGAGGGACTCCCAGCTCCATCGATACCTGAACTGATGCTCGATTCCTGCTCACCTCTATCCACTTCTTGCACGTTTTGAAGCTCCGCTCCGGCTCCTCCTTCTCCACCCGAGAGCTCAGATTTCTCTATAGTGCTAAACGTTCGCAACCCTACCAGGGAGATCCACGAGGGAAAGAAGGAAGTTGCCGTGGCCTCTCGGGTCACGGCATCAAGCCATCCTTGGGCACCTTTGGGGCTTCCAGGGGCAGCAGCGCTTCCCCGAGACTTCAGCGTCTGCAACAGCCGCAGGCAGAGGCTGCCCCGCCACATAGCGCCCCGCGATTCCCCGGGGAAAATCCCGATGGGGCAACAGAACGTTCGAACTTCCAACGTCCCAAAAGGGGGAATCTAACCCGGAAATTCTTTCTCCTCACTGATTGGAGGGTGTATATTCAACAGCTTTTAGGGATTGGCTGCGTTTCTCACGTGACAAGCAGGACTGCTGGCGCAGGCGCTGTTTGGTAAACAACGCTAGGTCGGATGGGGTTTAGCAGTATTTTGTTAAATGCAGGGCTAATCTGGTTTCAACAAACACCAGGGCAATCTATTTATCGCCATCTATTGGTTGTATTTGCACCCGATACATTTACAGCCTTCCTTTTATCCTTACGAAGTGGTGAATTTGTTCCTCGGACTCCAGACCAATAGTGAGTGCGGACTAACTCTTTTGACCCCAAAGTTTGGGGTGTTAAAGTCGGGGGCTGTCGGTGCAGTATGAGTGCCATTTTTCATGCCAAACAAACAGTTTACAGGTAGTTCTCGATTTAACGACCACAATTGAGCCCAACATTTCTACTAAGTGGGTTTTGCCCCATTTTACAACATTTTTTGCCACAATTGTCAAGTGAATCTCCTCAATTGTTAAATTAGTAACTCAATTGCTAAATGAATCTGCTTCCCCATTGATTTTGCTTGTCAGAAGTTTGCAAAAGGGAATCACATGGCCTCAGGACAATGCAACCTTCGTACATATGATTCAGTTTTCTAGAGTCTGAATTTTCATCACATGAGCATGGTGATGCTGCATGCAACTGTCATAAGTGTTAAAACGGTCATAAGTCACTTTTTTCAGTGTCATTGTGATTTTGAATAGTCACTAAACAAGCTGTTGTAAGTTGAGGACTACCTGTATCATGCTTTCTAATACTTCTACTGTAAATTTGGATAGCAAGTATTCTTTTGTGCTAAGATTCGCCTGAGTAAAATACTTTCCTTTGAGCACTTGTTTAATGAGATCTGTGAACCAAATCACTAGGTTTTGTAAATGTCTTAACCTAATGTTCAAGCCAGATCATAAAATAGTGCAGGACAATATCATACTAAGATAATATTGTATTCTGCTGGAGAAAGTGTTGTGGGTGTGTGTCTTGCATAGCCACAGACGGATAGATAGATAGTATGGAAGAATTTAAGCAATTTCAATATTAATAAATGCTTTAGCATGAGCTTTTGAGAAAGGGCTTAATCTGTTTCAGAAAATATTTAGCAGCAAGCAGGCTTTATAATCAATTATGTTTTTAATTCATCATTGCTTGAGAATAAGTACATTCTTTTTTTTTTCTTCAGGTCTTCCTATGAAGTGTTACTGAACCTGTTTTTGTGTTATTTGAGCTGCATTTTCAAATCCATAATAAGTTTTGGAAACTGAAGATGTCCTCTTTTAGTGCAGAAAACAGATTTCAACTTAAATCTGAAGGGCCAAGTGAGAAGGGAGAGAAAATGTGTAAATCAAAATCAGATGAAAATAAATTCACAAGTTCCCTCTTTTCTCCCACAATTGTGAGAGTCCACCTAATCTTTCATAACAGTTCTAAAAAGATATATATTTAGGAAGTAGAGACAAAGCTACTGGTAGACATAGCCACTTTATCCTCCTCTTAGTGTATAAGAAATTCTCTTCTAATGCAGTAGAGTGAATGTTAAAAACCAAGAAAATAGAACAAAAAATTATACATCTTTATATTGGTCTCCAAGTTGTGATTAAATTGTATATTAGTTAAACAATAAGGAATATCCAGAGCATCCAGCTAATAACTGCTGTCCTAATACATGATCACAATTAAACCGTAAATTTCTGTTGCTAAGTTAGACAGTTGTTAAGTGAGTTTTGCCTCATTTTACAGCTATTTTTGCCGGTTATTAAGTGAATCATTGCAGTTGTTAAATTAGTAACATGGTTGTAAAGTGAATCTGATTTTGCCATTGATTTTGTTTGTCAGATAGTTGCAAAATGACCACATGATCACGTGACTTTGGACATTGCAACCATCATAAATATGAGAATTGACAAGGACTGAATTTTGATCAATTGACCATAAGGATGCATGAAAAATAATCATGTCACTTTTTTCAGTATAAGTTTGAATGATCACTAAATGACCTGTTATAAGTCGAGCCTTACCTGTAGTTTTCAAACTAATTTTAAAACTCATTATCTTGAAGCTGACTGAGTATACAAGGTGAAGGAACTTTGGATTGAACCAGGATCCTAGCGTGCTGGCACAGAAATAATTTCCTTTAAATTCAGTAGAATTCATTGCAAGTTTAAATTGCTTAGTAAAAGAAAAACACTCAACCAAGCAGACATTTATTGAACCTCAGGAGTAAATAATTTTATTTATTCATTTATTTATGCTTTTCAGGCAATATTGATGCCTAGTGACTATCTAGACAAATCTCTGCAATAATGTAATATGTTGGTATATAATCCCCAATATAATGTACCCATTATAATGCATGTGTTGTATCTGTTTGGTTAGATATACATTTTCTCTTGAAGAGCAGGAAACAGAAGTTCATTTTTAATGTGGGCTAGTGTGCTCACAATAAAAAAAATGACAATAAAAGTTATCTTATACATTGTTCATTAACTGATACATTGTAGTATATTCAAGATAAGCAACTAAAATATCACATTTTCTTGATGTTCTGATATTTTATAATTTCAAGTGAATTGAATGATAGTTTTTATTTTATTTGTATGTAATGCAAGTATGCCATCTTTCCTCCCTTTTTAAGAGCATTCCTACAGAAATTGTAGTTCAGTGTAAAGCTTGAAATTTTAACATGTGATTTTAAAATGTTATTCTGAAGAATCAGACAATCCCCAGCTTGCTTTTCAGCAGAGGATCTCTCTCATTGCCTCTTGGGAAAAGAACAGCCTTCACATTATTGAAGTAAACACTTAGTCCTTCTCTGGATTTCTCTTGACCTGATTTTCTTTCAATAGGTTTATATTCTTTATATCTCCTGAAAAGAATGCGAGATCAAGTTATTAAAAGGTTTTCCTGCTGTATGAATAAAACCCAATAATTTCTGGGTTGCGTTATTCTTCTCTGTAAATTGTTCTTGCACATTTATATTTGTGAAAAAATCGGTGGAAGAAAACTTTTAGTATAGCTCTAGATAACAGTTGCTGAGAATATATATTAGGGTGACAGGAGAGACACCAAAAAGATAACAACCTATTTTATGCTTATAGAAATGTACTGTATCACTAATGGAGTATACTACAGTAGTAAGTAAATGTTTTCAGAGTTCTTCCATAAAGAAAACAATATTATGCCATTGCGAGATATATTCTTGTTGTGAAACCTTTTAAAAAGCAGGGACAATGGGATATTGCAGTTACAGACTTATAGGAAACAACTATGGTTCAAATTGTCTTTCACTCCTGACACTGAGGGATCTGTGGGGTCATTAGTATTCTTTGAGCTTGGTTGTTTTCTTGCAAACATTTTATGTCCCAAGTAACATCATCAACTGCATCCTTTTTGCTGATGATGTAAAAATTTTCAACACCACTGACAAGGCTGCTACCCTTCAAAAAGACCTTGACTATGTGTCAGAATGGTCAAATAAGTGGCAACTTCAAATCTCAACAAACAAATGCTTCTGTCTTACATATTGGCAAAAAAAAATCAGAAAATAAAATACAAGCTGAATGGACACGACCTTGTAGATAACCCTCACTCTGTTAAGGACCTTGGACTACTTATCTCTAATGATCAAAGTGCTAGAGTTCACTGTAACAACATAGTCAAAAAGCATTAAGAGTTGTTAACCTAATCCTGCGTAGCTTTTTCTCCGGTAATATTGTATTGCTAATTAGAGCATACAAAACACTTGCTAGACCAATTCTCAAATACAGTTCTTCTGTCTGGAATCCGCATTGCATATCTGACATCAATACAATCAAGGGAGTCCAGAGATATTTCATGAGAAGAGTCCTCTACTCTTCTACTTGCAACAGAATACCTTATGCCACCAGACTTGAAATTTTAGGCTTGGATAACTTAGAACTACGCTGCCTTTGGTCCGACCTAAGCGTAGTATATAAAATTATCTATTGCAATGTCTTACCTGTCAATGATTACTTCAGCTTCAACCACAACGATACATGTGCACACAATAGATACAAACTCAAGGTAAACCGCACCAAACTTAATTGCAGGAAATACGACTTCAGCAACAGAGTGGTCAATGCCTGGAATACACTACCTGACTCTGATTCTTCCCCAAACCCCAAAAACTTTAACCTTAGACTGTCTACTGTCTACCTCACCCCGTTCCTAAGAAGTCTGTAAGGGGAGTGCATAAGCAACACCAATGTGCCTACCATCCCTGTCCTAATATTCCCTTTTATTCATATCCATTTCATGTATTAATAATCATATATATACTCGACAAACAAATAATCATGGCTACATGGGATCTCTGTTTGCTCTCTCTATACAAGTGGTTTACTCTATTAGTATTGGTGGGAAAATTGTTAGTAGTTTCTTCATTAGATTATTGTTTACTACTTGTAAAGAACAAAAGAGCAAACTATTTCCTTTTAGTAGTGTTGATATTACCTAGTTGGGTAATGAAATGTCTGCAAGAAAACAACCAAACTCAGAAAGCACTAAGGGCCCCACAGTTCAATTCTGAGCTACAAACATTCTCCTCTATTGATTTAGAGATCTCTATGATTTTTGGATTATTATCTTCCACTCCTCAATAGCACACCCAAGCACAGTTGCCTCAACCTCTTATAGAAAAAAGATAGACAAGCTTTGATATTATTGCCATCCCAACAAGCATAAATATATTATATGCTCTATTCCAGTAATAGTTGGAAGGTTCTATGAATAATTTAAAAAATAAGCAGAGAGGGAATGCTACTGGATTTTTGCTTATTTCCTATGGGTAAATAGAATCTACCTTCTGTTACAAATGCTTACATCAGTATTATTTGAGTTTGAAATTTTTATAAATCACTAAACCAATGATCTGATCCATGTTAATGACTATACTGAACAACTTACTTGTAAAGGAAGAAAGTCAGGAAACCACCAAGCACCACCAAGAAACCACATGTAACCAGAATTCCTTCTGCTGTTCTTGAAAAGGATGCTTCAGCTTAAAGAATAAATTAAGGGAAACAGAATAAAGGGAATTTAATCAGTGAATAATAGACTTATAATGCTCTAGATGTTCTACATTGTTTGATATTGTAATCACATTGAGTTCAGTATACCTGTCTCCTAATTAAAACTAATATCTTTATTGTTTTAAATATTTTAAAATTATTTTTGTTTTGGGGTGGGTTGGTGTTATTTTGTTATATTGTTTTGTAACTTCATTGTCACTCAGAGTCACATGAGATGATCGTATATATATTTACTAAATAAATAAATAATATAAAATACAAAGATAAATAACTAGTTCCCCAAACTTATTTCAGTTGAATTACTTCCATTTATTTAGATATTACTTTCTATACTTGACTGAGTTTGAAAGGTAAGCAAGAACAACAACATTGCTTCTCACACAGCACATACAATAATGATTGAGACTCTTTCAATCTATATTTCTTCAAATGTAGATATTTGGAAAAGTGTGGCACTAGTAGAATCATTATTCAGATTTGGGCTGATAGTGTTAGGAAGGACCAAGAACTTCAGATGAAAAAGTTTGCTATGCATATTTACCATAAGAAGCACACTTTTCTTTATCTCAGTCATTCTGTACTAGTATAATGTTACACATATTAGTGTAATGTTAGAATATTAAAAGATTATACCATTTTACAAGCATTTGTTAATCTGTCAAACATGCAGTATCCCTTTGAGTTGAATATTTAATATCTCTTGAGAAATAACTATGCTAACTTCTGATTTTAAAAAAAGGTAGGATTTACCTCCATTGATGGAGATCAAAGTACTTGTGAGTGCTAGACTTGTTGCATCAGCCAGTGTGATGTTGACACAATAGGTTCCAGATTCATTGAAGATTCTTCTTATGGTTAGGAAACATACATCAGCAACATCAACAGGGTGACATGACTCACTCTGTAACATCGTACATGTGGGATCAGAAATTAATGTGCAGGCATCTGTAGGTAGACTGGGGGAAAAGACAAAAAGAGATGAGGTAGTTAATCAATTTGGGTTGTATACAACCAATGAACTAATTGATATGTAAGTTTTTTTTTATAACTCCCCAAAATGGTTCAGATCTACTGTATTATTCTTTTTTAAGCATAGCACATATGTATTTAAAATAATATGCCATTTCAGTTCAAACAATAAAGATGACTGAACAGGAGAAGTAAAATATTGCAATCACACTATGATCATTATTATTCCTGAGGAGGGTAACTCTTTTAAACCTTCTAAAAATATTAATGCTCCATTGAATCTTTCTGTTTATAAATCCTACTACACCGTTTACTGAATATATTACAAAGAAAGCCAGATCAACTGCAAAAGAGAATACTTGGGGCTTTTCCATGTGGCAGCCTTTAGAATCTTTTCTGCATCTTGTAAACTGCATCTTGCAAACTGCCTAGAAATAAATCCAGTTTAAGAAAACATCTTCTGGATTTCATCCTTTTTCTCTGCTTTGTCCTGGAGCAGAATTACCATGGCTCCTGAATGGTGGTTCTCTCCCACACACATCAGAAAACTGTTTTCCCTTGTATCAGCATGTCTTTTGAGGACATTTTCCTATTCTTTCTTAAACTTGGCTAGAAGGAAAAATTGGCTGAACTCGTCAAACTCGAAGGAAGGAAGGAAATCTCACCCTTCTGCTGTTGTGTTAAATTAAGGTGACCAACCTTTAGGGTGACCAACCTTTAGGGAGGACAGTCCTCCTTTTGTAAGTTCTGTCCTCTCTCGAAAAGTGTTCTCCTACATGTCCTTTTTGATATTTGAAGACTAATCTATAAATCTCCGTATTTGATCGATGCCGATCCAATCCGTTGTGTATGATGTGACGTATTTGTATTTGACATGACGATTCGTCAAGGCTCGGTACAGTGCGGCGAGATGCAATTATGAGACGCATGCGCTCCACACAGGAGAATTGTTTTTAGAGAGTGCGCTGCATGCATGAGTGCACCGCATGCAAGTGTGCGCCACACGCAAGAGTGCGCCACACGCAAGTGGCTTTTTTCCCCTTCGATTTATTGTGTCCTTTTCATTGTAAAAAAGTTGGTCACCTTAGTTAAATACAACACACACTCTCTCTCACACACACATTTTAGTCTTTCTGACACTTACTGTAAACTATAAGGGAAAGTCTTGTCAATTTCTAATTAAAAGTCTTGTCAATTTTTACTTAAAAAGGAAAAAAAAGGCCAGCATTTCACCATTTCTCTGCTCAGGCCTCTAGGCCACAGCCAAGTACACACTGGTATTAATCATATCCAACCCAGCTCTATTTTTTTCAGTATCAGTCATGGTCAGCTAGATGCTATCCCTTGCTGAGGAACAGAAGATAAATCTGGTGCCAAGGTATGTGATTTATCTACACAAATAGTATGGTTCAACTGTCTCCAGACCAATGCCAGTCCTGTGAGGTAGGACAGGTCAGGAAACAGATCAAGTCAGCATTATAAGAATGATACTTCATTGTTCTAAGATCCAATAACAGAATATTGAAAACCTGACAGAGTTGTCCCCTCCTATACCAAAGATATATTTTAAGTTTCCTTCTCGTGCTTTCTCTTTTCCCAGGATGAATAGGGGTTTCATGTCCCATAATTGCATAAATGCATAATATTTTCAAGATTATCTTTATATTCCTCTACATCTAGTACTATCCATCCATGCTGGACTGCAGCTGTCTTATTTCTCAGTCCCTATGTGCAGCAATACACCAACACAGTGAACCACAGTAAGACAATTCAGTTACACTGGTATTTCTTTCAGTTAGCTGAGAGGAATTATTTAAATGTATAGTATAAGATGCCAGAATATGTAGAGGTTTTTTTAAAATAAAAGCTAGGAATATATGGAAAATGTGTTGGGGGAGGGGGTGCACAGAGGGAGGCTCAGCCAATCTCATTGTGTACATTGTGTACTCTGACAATAAAGGTAATAATAATGAAAAGCATACCTTCCTTGACAGGTTACTATGAAATCAACCATGGAACTTCCAACTTGAGTGGCTGTCATCTGGACGCTTGTCATTTGGACAATGTTTACCTCAAGGATCCCCTCTGTCAAAAATAAGCCACTGATAACATACCAAGATTTCTTACGTGCAAAATTTGACTACAAGGAAAAGAAGTATTTTTTCTAAATCTTAAGTGCAGGAGAACTAGCTTATAATTTCTTGTTGACAATAGTTTCTGATTCTTAGACGCAGCAATAGGCAGAGTCATCAAATCTTATTTGTTTTTGGTCATTGTATTCGTGTTTTTGTTTCAGTCAACCAGAAAAGTTCATTTTAATTTTTTTTTTGTTGACATGTAATTATTACAGAGAGAGGTTCAGGCATTTGACAATTTAAAGCATCTCAGATCATTAAATGTTTAAATTCCAGCCCCAAAGAATGACATGAATGATTCATAATATATAACAAAAATACTAAAAAGATAGGTCTGAAGCTATGGGTAGTTTTTTAGTTTAGTTTACTTTATTGTCATTGCACCTCGTACAACGAAATCAAACACCATCTTCAGTGCACATCATGACCATGACCATGAAAATAAGCACAAACACACATCCTTCACCATTCACACATTGAACTGGAAACCCCTGCCACCATACCAACACTGCGCTATACAGCAGAATTCAAAAGAGCTACTTTATTTTTTTTACTTTATTGTTGCAAAAAGATAATACTGTCTGATTCTTATTTTTATTTTTTTTTAAAAAACAGCAACAGAATTACTCCCTGTCTTCCACACCATCATATAGTAAGTTACAAATGAGAGTTTTTTTAAAAAAAATATTGTGGTCAGTTCCAATAAACTAGATCCTTGGATTGAGGTTTTTTAATTCTGTGTACTTGTATTGTATAAAGCTGATTTCAGGTACTTGCAAAAAAAAAATGGAGTAGAATTTAATAATTTTGTCCACTATTTCTGCTAAGGATATGTACATCATTACATTCAGAGTGTTACTTTAAGATTAGGACTCATCTTTCTTTTAAATTAAATATGTTTTTTTTAACTCAGTGGTATATTCATCTTATTTTCAGAATGAGTCCTTAAGTTGAACTTGCTGTAGCAATCCAGGGATTGTATTCTTCCTGAACAAGATGATAAAATTGAACACAGCAACAATAATACTGCATACTGAAATTTGGGTAGAAAACATGCGTGTGGTGATACTGACCCAGCCAAACACGAATATTACTGATGAGTTATTTAGTTAGATATTCCACAAAGGATATTTAATAGAGTTGCGTCCTTTCTATGAATGGAAAAAGTGGACAAAAGGAGTCTCCCTCCAATGGAAGAAATCCTACTGTACAAAGAAATCTCTTTTTGTTCATGGATGGAAATCTTTAGCTATAACACTATTGATAATATGATTTTCAAAGCAAACAAAATAATACTATTTTAAATCTTCATTTCAAAATGGATTCTACAAAGCTTTCAGCCCTTTATTTACAGAAAAATTCTACCATAGCAGGAACCCCAAATCCATTTTAATTATGTAATGAATGTGAAACACTTCACATACTCTCTATCAAAATGATATTTGTTGCTTACTGATGTAGATGCATACCTACAATGGTAAGTGTTGCTTTGTAAGTTCCATATCGAGTGATACTGCACCTTTCAACAGGAGGCTGTCCTGTGGGCACCTCGGTAAAGTTAGGGAAGGTGGGGGTTGTATTAAAAGGCAATTGGGTAGTGAATGCTAAAAAAAAAAAAGAAAGACAAGAGTTGTGGAAAGACTTTTTAAATTTGCATCTTAGAGCAAAAATTTTTTGAACAGTCTATTTATACCAAGATAAAAGATGTATTACATTTATTTGACCATCCTATTTTCATACAGAAATTTAAACTAGTAATGGAGAATATTTATAGCTCAGGATTGACCTGAAAGATCCTTGAAGCTCTCTGAGCTTGGTGGTTATTTTGAAGTTGTTTCATTGCCCAAATTAGGTAACATCATCAGTGCTAGTGATTATCACTGATGAAGTTACCTAGTTTGGGTAATAAAATATCTGCAAGAAACCAAGCAAGCTAGAGAGCACCAAGGACGCCTCATATACCACACACCTGTTCTTAGGAATCAGAGCTATGATCACTATGAGGAAAATCACTCCATTTATTAACAAATAGTTCCCTTTGGAATAAACAGTCCTACTGTTGCCTCTTGCCTTTTAAGTCACTTGATTTTGGCATTATATATCTGTGTTTTCCTGTTCTTCTAGAGATTTACACATCGGAAGTTTAATCTAATCAACGGAAGTGGAAAGCTTCTTTACTTACTTATTTATTCATTTGTTTATTTATTTATTTATATTGTATGGCATCTATCAACATAAAAATAAATCACACTCTTTCCACCAAGATACCAGAACTCTCCCAACTGTTAATATCACGATTCAACTCCATCCTAATCCAGTGCTTGAGAGAAAAACCAGTCTTCAAAACTTTCTAGAAGACTAAAAGAATAAAGCACTCCCAAATTTCAGTGAGAGGTTCTTCCAAAGAACTGGTGCACCAATGAAAAAGTTCCATTCAAGGATCCATTGGATGACATCATCCACAGGAATAGAATGCAACCACCTTGTCCAATCTAGTAAAATGAGCTGTTGCCCTCAGAGAGAAGCAGTCCTGCAAATACCGTACAGGTAGTCCTCAACTTACATCCACAATTGAGCCCAAAATTTATGTTGTTAAGCAAGGCAATTGTTAAGTCCCATTTGTTCCATTTTATGATCTTTCTTGCCATAATTAAGTGAATCCCTACAGTTGTTAAGTTAGTAACACAGCTGTAAAATTGAATCTGGCTTCCTCATTGACTTTGCTTGTCAGAACGTCGCAAAAGGTAATTGCGTGACCTTGGGACACTGCAACTGTCATAAATATGGATCAATGAGCATAGAGCTGTAAGGGACCTTGAAGGTCTCCTGGTCCAACCCCTTGTTCAAGCAAGAGACCCTACACTATTTCAGACAAGTGATTCTTCAGTCTCTTTTTTAAAACCTGAAGTCATGAAGCACCCACAACTTCTGATGACAAGCTGTTCCACTAGTTAATTGTCCTCACTGTTAGGAGGACATAAAACTGTTATAAAACAGTTGCCAAACATCTGAATGGGGATGCTGCAATGGTTGTAAGTGTGAAAAACAATCATAAGTCTTAACTTTTTCCAGTGTTGTTGTCACTTTAAATAGTTACTAAACAAATTATAAGTTGAAGACTATGTGTATTGTCATTCCATTTCATTCAACTCGTACTTGAGGATTGGTTTTTATTCTTGATCATTTTTCCTTTGTGTTCAGCAATGATCAGAAGAATAATGGGTTTTTCCAGTAAGCAGAGAATAACAATCCAATCATTATAGGCCTAAGTGTAAAATTATTTCTTACAGCAAAGTCCAGATGAAAAAGATGGCTTTTCTTATTCTGCACCAGCACAGAATTATGAATTAAGCATAGACATTAAGAAATCAATCAATCATATATTTATTATTCCAAATTATTGAGAGGTGCAGGACAGAGATGAATTAGGTCCTATAAAAAGCAAGTGCTGGTTGGATTAATATATACGCCATCAAATAAAATTCTGGGTTTGCATTATATTATATCACATATATATTATATCACATATGGCTGTAGTGGCAAGTTTATGTAACAAACCATGGCAAAACAAAGCAGTGTACATTATATCTTATTGTCTTTCATGAACCAGACCAATGTGTCTTCAATGAGCAAACATGTAGGGTGGATACTACAGTTGTCATACACACTCACCTGGAAATGTAGGTAAAGGAGAAGCTGTCACTGGTCCACAAGGTACTGGTATAATAGCTTGAACAGTTAAGTTAGCACTGAAATTTCCCAGAAGTGTGTATGTATGTGTTGAAATAGAATTGTTGGAAACAAATGATCCACTGCCATCTCCAAAATTCCAGTGGTAAGAAATATCAGAATGATTCAGATAGTGGCTAGGATCATGAATCTGAACATCAAACATAATAGGGATATCCTTGATGAAGATAAAATCTGAAACATTGCGATTGTTCTTCTGTGATATATTCACATAGAAGGGGATTTGATCTGCATGTCAAAAGTATCCAAAAAAAGGTGAAATTGTAGCTTTATACACAATAGACAACACTAGACTAATGCAGCTTTTACTAGAGAAGTACTGATGTATCAATGAATTGTGTCTTGTTTTTTTTTGCCTAATCTCTTCACCCCTGCACACATAATTTGAAGTGGTTTTTTTTAAGTTTTAAAATCTAAACATCTAAAAACCTGATGAAAAGCAGGAAGGAAGGTTGTGTAGAGAACATTGACTCTCTAGATGTTTAGACTTCTGCTAAGAATTCTGGAAGCTGAAGTCAGCCAGTAACTAACATAAATAGTTCACATATGATTATTATAACTTAACCTTGAAGACTCACCAGTTACAACATAAACAGTATTTGATGTGGTTACAGGTACAAATGAGCGATAACCTCTTCTGTAAACTGCCAGCTCCATTAGTTGTTTACCAATAGTGATATTTGTTGTGTTGATTGACATCATAACTGATGAACCTCCCTTTATTTGATAGTATTGTCCTAAAAAGAGTAAAATGTAAAAAAAAAGATGGCAGTACTACAAACTTTTTTTTTTTGGGGGGGGGGGGACACTATATGGTTGCTCTTTGCAAAGGGAAGAAATGTGTTACTCTATCAAAAGGGCAAAATGAATAAATGTAATGCTTCCAAATGAATGTTTGTCAGTCCTTTTTATAAACAGCCCAAAAGTATGCACATGATTCTATCATTTTATGTCTAGTACCATAATTGTGTTCCTTTTCCATGTTTTGTACATTTACACAAACCACTTGACAAGTCACAACAATAGTAAATTTTTAAACTAAACTGGGCTAACTTTGATTTGCAATAAATATTTTTTATATTAATAAACTATTTACACTTATATTCATATACTTATATCTATTACACTTATATGGATAGTGCCATTATATGGTTCACCACTAGATAACACAGGTTTTTTTTTAACCCCAGTCATGTCTGAGCATACCAAATATAATGCCACTCTATTTTATTCTCACTGGAAAGAGACAAAAAATATGTGGTCTAACTGCCTGACTGATATATCTTCTAAGAGCCATAAATTAAGTCAGTACATAACATCATTCAACCCAGAGTTCTCATTTGAGCATAAATGACCCGGAACAAATTATCATATTTTGGACACATCATGCAATCACTCAGTTCTCTGGAAAAGGCTGTAATGCTGGGGAAAGTAGAAGGAAATAGAAGAAAAGCAGCAAGATGGACGGAGTCAGTTACAAAGGCAATGAATGTATTATTAGGAGACATAAAAGAACAGATTGTCCTGGAGAAAATTCACTTATGTGGTTGCTAGGAGTTGATTTGATGGCACATAATCAATCAAAATACTTCATAAGTAGAAGGTTCCACATTTAACTGCTAATGAAATGGATTGCAAATAATAAGCCTGGGAAATATTTCTTTCTGGGACAAAATATATACAAGAGGCAGAGGTGGTATTCAGCAGGTTCTGACCAGTTCTGGAGAACCTGTAGCAGAAATTTTGAGTAGTTTGGAGAATTGGCAAATACCACCTCTGACTGGCCCCGCCCACATCTATTCTCTGCCTCCTGAGTCCCAACTGATCAGCTGGATCTTCTTTGGTTGCCCTGCACAGGAAAACAGAGCTGGAAAGCAGGTTAGTGGGGTGGGGAGGGAATGGAATTTTGCAGTAACCTTCCCCTGCCATGCCCACCAAGCCACGCCCACAGAACCAGCAGTAAAAAAATTTGAATCCCAACACTGGCAAGAGGTAGGCAGCTTAATGGCTGCCCTTCAACTCCAGCTAGAATATTTCAGTGTTCAGGGATAATAAAAACAAATCCAAAACTTCTGGAGATCTGATTTTTCTGTGAGTCATTTGTCATTCCCCCACTTGGTAGTCTCATTTGCCTACAATTCTTTCAATCTTTAGAAGAGGAAGGCAAGAAACCTCTCTTCAGTTAGCATTTACATATTTAAAAATTTAGATGCCCATATATCTATCATTTAAAGACTTGTCCTCCCTCCCTTCCACACCATTAGCTGCCTAGTATGTTTCCAGAAGTGGAAGTCAGAATAAAGGAACAAATACACTACAGAAAACAAAAACAATTTTATAAATGAGAAAACAAAATATTCATTTCTGACAGAAAAGCCCTTAAAGATATGAGAAGTTGTAACATAAATGCTAATTTAGACCTACATGTTTTAGTAGCTGAATATTTATATATTTAATATAATTCACTTCAGAAAAGTTCTTCACAGTTACTGTCTTTTTAAAAACTCTGCTTCAATTGTACAATTTATTGTAGAAAAGGTATTCAGAACAATTTACTATAAGATATGAACATACCCTATCTCAGCTTGAAGGGCTGTGAAAGATGTCTATTTCCCCAAACTTAACAGTCAGTAAACAGCTCTATTTTCAATGCAGCTCTGAAACAATGTCTTTCTCAGAGTGCTACCAATTTTTGCTCATATAATTCCTAATGTTGCAAATAATTTCGGATCAAACTGTATTAAAATAAAAAATTTAAAAATCAAATCTAGAAGTACATTTTAAAGACTAACCAAGTGTGTGAAATATGAATATGAAATTCCTTCTCCTCCATCCATGGTGATAAGGAAAAGATTTTCCGTCTGGGAAAACATTATAGCTGTTGTTATATGTGCAGTTTATCCAGCTACAGTCATCAATCCATTGGGTCCAATTATAAACATATTCATCAGAAAGTACTAAAGAATCTAAAAATAAAAAGGAAAAAATGGAGATGGGGGGGAGAAGCAGAACAATTTTAAAAGCATTTTCTTCTGGCTGATGCCTTTCATATATTGGAATTTAATTTCTTCATTTCAGTAGAATGTGAAAAACTTCAGATTGGGAAATAAGGATCAGTTTATCAAGGCTGCAGTCCTAAACATAATTACTAAGAACTTACTGATTAATATAGATTGTCTTAAGTAGATAAACAAATTTCAATCATGTTAATACAGTCATGTGGTATCTATGGTATCTAAAACTAGCTAGATTACTTGATCCCCTGAAACAGAAAAATCTCACACCTTCTTTAACAGTAAAATAACAAAATAATAACAACAGCAATAAAACTGTGACAGCAATAATAAAAATTAATTACTTACTGTTTAGGCACTTTCGATCATATATTATATTACTGTCATTATCTTCCTTCTGACATCTGGGAAATTTTAGCATTGCAATAAATGTCACATTAGAGCCTACAAGAGCTGGGCTATCACTGGTCAAACTAGCTATTACTCTACCCCCTGAAAAGCAAAAAATAAAATAAATTTATTACATATTTAATGCATGCGTGCTCCAGCATGAAGCACTTAATTTAGAACATAGAGAACATAGAATAATAGAGTTGGAAGGGTTAATGGCTGTTGGCAGCATGCCCACGCTTTCAATTGGCATGAGCAGCTGCTGTTAGTTTCCCTCTCACCTGCTGCGTTTGCTTTGGGTTTGACTATTTTTAAAGGAGGAATGGTTTTTTTTTAAGTTTTCTGCATTGTTTTAGTGGTTCTTGGCACTGTCCTTTTGGGGAGTACTTCCCTCACTGTTTTTGAAAGCCTCTAGGATGGAGCAGCCACAACTTCTGCAGACAAGCTATTCCACTGGTTGATTGATCTCACCCTTAGAAAATTTCTCCTTAGTCCTGAGTTGTTTCTCTCTCTGATTGGTTTCCATCCACTGTTGTGCCTTTTGGTGCTTTGGAAAATAGATAGACTCTCTCAATTTTGTAGAAGCCTCTCAAATTTCCTGACATAACAATTAATCAGTGGAACAATTTGCCTTCAGAAGTTGTAAATGCACCAACACTGGAAGTTTTAAGACAAGAGCGGATAACCATTTGTCTGAAGTGGTGTAGGTATTCCTGCCTAAGCAGGGCTTTGGACTAGAACAGGAGTCGCCAATCTTTTGGACCTCAGGGACCACCAAACTCATAATTTTAGATCCCAGGGACCACTAACTGGTTCTGTGGGCATGGCCTAATTTGTGGGTGTGGCTTGGTGGTCATGTGACTGGCTGGGCATGGCTTGTATGTAAATATTATAAATATTTATATAAATATTGAATTTTTTATTAAAAAAGAGCAACTTTTACCCAAAATTAGGCAAAGCAGGCAGGCAGTTTGAGTTGCTCACAGAATCACAGATTCATTCAGAGATCTATCTATCTGCCATCGGCTAGCTCAGTCTGTCACATAAAATTTGCTTGCAAGCAAACTCATAAAATTTGCTAGTAAGCAAACTCACAAAATTAACTCACAACACACCATGTATATAAATATTGAATTTTTTATTAAAAAAAGAGCAACTTTTACCCAAAATCAGGCAAAGCAGGCAGATTGAGTTGCTCACAGAATCATTCAGTGATCTATCTATCTGCCATCGGCTAACTCAGTCTCTCAAATTTGCTTGCCGTGAGTCTGCACTGAATTTGCTTGCAAGCAAACCTTCAGTCCTAAGGGAGGTTCAGCTGTGCTTAAAAGCAGAGCCGAATATTTAAAGACTAGCTAGAAAGCAAGAAATCCAACCATTTTCTGCTTCCTAGCTAATCTAAATCTCCCGGCAGAGCAGAACAGATGATGATCAGAAAAAGGAAAATTAGAAATTTAGCAGGCACGCTTATCAGGTAAGGAGTGAGTGGGCAGGGAGGGTTCCTGCAGGCCATGTGGGCAGCACAGCCTTGTGTTTCTGCACAGCATGGATTATTTGCTTTGAAGGGGTGCTCTGGGGGTGAGATTTCTCTGCGGCCCACCAAAATTTTCTCGCGGCCCACCAGTGGGCCATGGCCCACCGGTTGGCAACCGTTGGACTAGAACACCTTAAGGTTCTTTCCAACTCTGTTATTCTACTAAATATTGGAACAGTGTTATTTTATTGTGAGTTGGATTAAGGAGAAATTTCAAGTTGGCCACGCCCACTCAGAAACATGACCACCCAGCCACGCCCACCCAGTCATTAGAGCAGAGAACAGGTTGTTAAATTATTTGAATCCCACCACTGACTAGAGATCAGGAGACTGAGAGATGTTCTCCTGCCTTAGGACAAAGCCAGATGGGTGACCTTGGCAAATCACTCTCAATTTTACATCATCGGTGAAGACGATGCAGTTGCTTTTAAAGTTGTCACATACATCATTGATGTAAAGCAGAAAGAGTGTGGGTCCTAAGAGTGTGTGAGCCTTGAGGGATGCTGCTATTAACTGGTGCTGGATTTGTTCGGGCCTTCCCTATTTTGGGAATATCAATTATATTAATATTAATATCAAACCACTTCTGAAACCCTGCCAAGAAAATTGTAGGGACTTGCCCACGCAGTCACTAAGGTCAAAAGTACTGACTCAAAAATTGACATTATCAATATACATACATGCACAAAGATAGATAAACATTATATAGGTAGTCCTCAACTTGAGACCACATGAGCCCCAAAAGAAAAAGAAAATGTTAAGCGAGTTTTATCCCATTTTACAACTTTTCTTGTCATATTTGTTAAAGAAACAAGCAGTTGTTAAATCAGTAACATGGTTGTTAGGTGAATCTGGTTTCTCCATTGACTTTGCTTATCAGGAAATTGCAAAAGGGGATCACATGACCCCAGGACACTGCAACTGCCATAAAGATGAATCAGTTGTCATACATCCAAATGTAAATCACATGAACATGGGAATGCTGTAACAGTCATAAGTGTGAAAAGTGGTCATGTCACTTTTTTCAGTGCTTTTGCAAATTTGAATAGTCACTAAAGGAACTGTTGTAAGTTGAGGACTACCTGTACTGCATTTTTCCAAAATGTTTCATGACTTAGAGACTTTTGTAGCATGAACCAGTCTTTTCACTTAGAAAGTGAAAAGGTATTTAATTTTAATGTCATATCAAATACACTATGACACATTCTATTTGCATAAATTAAAATATTCAATGCAAATTGTATAATAAAATTATGCAATACTTCTTGAAGCTAGCTAGAAATGAATAAAATGGGAATGTATGTTGGGATATTCAAAAAGTTTTCCAAATGCAAAACCACTCCCAAAAATATAACTTCGGGAATAGGAAAGATTTTACAATAATTTAAATATGACTGAGTATCTTCTAGGAGCATAAAATGTGAACTAATTTGTATTAAAGCTTTCTTTCAATTACTTACACACACATACACAATTATAGATGTATGTGCATGTATGTATAATTTTGTGTTTATAAAGTGGATTTGAAAATGTTCCCCCTTCATATATAATGATTGAATAACTATTAAAGCTTGTAAAATATTATTGGAAGTGAATTTTAAAGTATGTATGTTAAGAAGATGTTAAAAGGTATATTAGAATTTACTGATTTTGGAAATGTTTTTAAAGAAAAGTTTCATCTTTTAAAATGAATGACCTTTAACCTTTAAGTTTAAAGAATCTGAAAGAATATAGTGAATTCTGTTAATATAAATAATGATAGTCTATAAAGATTAATAAATGAAAACAGAAATAGATATTATTTCCCACAGCAAGGGGAAAAAAATCAAAGATGGTTAAACTGATTGCTTTATCCAAATAAGAGAATATATCTAATTTTGTTTCTATTTGGAAATCACCTCTGGATTTTGTACTTGTTATAAGAAAAAAATGAAACTTTGATTCTGGTTTTGCTAATTAGATAGATTTGTTATTATAGACATGGCTAGTATATGTTCTCTGAAAAAGTAAAAAGCTGAAGTTGTAATGTTATTAATTTCTACTACGTTAAAGAGAGTTGGAAGTCAACATCTTTTTTTTCTTTTTCCCCTTCTATCTCACATTTTCTCTTCTTCCCTTTTTCCTAGTTTCCCATTATTTTTATTTTCCTATATTCTGATAAACCAATAAAATTTTCAAACTCCTCAAAAATACTAATTAATTTGGGAAATGAGGAATGAAGAATTGGATTGGAAGATTCTACTGAAGAGTTTAGAACAGGCATGTCCAAAGTCAGCCCAGGGGCCAATTGTGGCCCATTTTCAAATTTCGAGCGGCCCGCAGCCTCTTGTCCCCACCAGCTCAGCCTATCATTCATTCCTGCCGGCCGGCATTTTTCCCATTTAATGTTAATGGTTCAAAGAATGTCAGGCTGAATGGTCGGCCTTCACACATTTTCACCTCACCAAATCTAGCCCTCCTTGCAAAAAGTTTGGACACCCTGGTTTGGATGTATGTATGTATGGGTGGGTGGGTAGGTGGTGGGTGGGTGGATGGATGGATGGCATCATAAATAGGAACGTTCCATTTTTGGTTCTATCCAAATTATTTTTAAAAAAATATTTCAATGACGCGCCCGTAGGTAGACTATTTATTGAGTAATAGGCAAAGTAAGGAATATTCTAATGTTCTACACTGATTTTTATCCACCAGTTAGATTTCAATGGAGGCACTGTGTGAGAATTGTCCCTGGGCTTTCTTCATAACAGACCCATGAAAATTCTGGGAGATGACAGAATGACAGTGAAATCTGCAACAGTAGAGAATAATCCCAGTATCCTCTATTTCCTCCGGCAAATGCAATAAATCAGATTGGCATCAAGTCTTGCTTAGTTCTCTTTTTTTGATAAATCATACTCTATGTCAGGCACTCAAAGTGCCCAACAATTAATGTTTTGAAACTTAATTGAAAAATAAATCAATAGAAAATTATTATTTACATAATTTAAAAAGCCTAACTTATGATCTCATACCAAACACGTATGTATGTAGGACGATCAAAAAAATGAAAATGATGACTGTGATCATGAGATTGTAGCATCATCTCTTGTTTACGAATGTCCCAGTGTAACAGGTATGGGCTTCTAACCATGTGATCTTGGCTAGCATGAGTTTTTGGATCCCTCTGTAGAGGCCATTTCAGTAGAAAATATACGGACTAAGTGTAGAGTTGTAATTGCAGGAATGTCTTTATCTTGGATGGCAAACCTCAGAGAAAAGAATGTTTCCAAGCAAATACAACTCAGGCAAACAAAGTTACTCATCTAAAGGAGGATTAAAGAGAGGAAGTAAACATACGTTGGACTTTGACTAGAGATCATTATTTGTGTTAGTTACTATGCTGAACAATAACGAAAGTCAAGCAGAAACTAAAGTTAACCAATGTTGGAGGATAACTAAAAATGTGTATAAATGCAAGACTAGACTCCAATAAAGTTCATCATGATTCAGTTGATCATGATCAAACACCTCGACTGCCTCGTCATTACAACAAGTGGCGCATGAACAGGGACCCTCTTACTTCGTCCGG